GCCCCATAAACATACACTCACTATTTCCAAAAATATACGTGCGTTCCACAAAATCATCTTAAATATCTATAAATTTCGGACAAAAACGAGATCATTGTCTGTCTATAATCTGTTTGTAATGCTACATCAAAAGATTTTCTCTAAAGTCCTACTTCAGTGATGCAGATCGCTGAGATAATTGCTTAGTTTTTCTTTTAGTTTTGAAATACCATCTGTCTTAATAATATGTTACTCTATGATCCACCGAAACGAGCATGAAGTGATACTGTTTATATTTGCTATTGTCTTCTACGAACTTATGATGAGAATTGAGTATTGAGAAAAATATTATATTGTTTTAAATTCAGATTTTTTTGCGTATCTGGCTTTATTTAGCGTTGCTATTCATCCAATCATTGCAAACTCAAACCTGTCAGCATATTCTCTATGCCCTATCGATGTACAGTTACTCTCTAATGCCCAGGTCGAACATTCCGACCACCGGATCCCGTAGGATACTCCAGGGAATATACGGGAAAGTCACCATATCCTGCAGGAATTGATCGGAAATCACGGGAAAAAATTTGAAAAATTTTCAACCGGAATATTGCTTCCACAAAATCAATGGAACTACCCGGAACCGGCCGTTTCCAGGCCGGACTGTTCGACCTGGATATCTCAAATCATTCAGATAAGTTACTTACCACAGTTGAATAATTTAACTCAGTAGTCGTAAAAACTTTAGTGGCACGTTTACTTGTTGTATGATTTTGTGTTTTTTTCTCAAATGATTCATTTATAGGATTTTGAAGATGATAATAATTAAAGTTTCTAACCTTTCTTTCTATTATGAGCTTTGTTGACAAGCGAACGGAAAGTTTCGAAGGACAAAATATGAGAATTCAAGAGTGTGGGCGTGAAATTTTACAGCAGTATTCGCTTTTGATAAACGTTCGGTTTCAAAGAAGACTTCATTATTTAATTCATCCAAAATAAACGTTTCTAATGCACACACTTTCATCATTCATTTTTGTTCTCAATCTTCATTGTGCTAAAAGATCTTTCAACACTTGCTACTACCATAAGTAGTGTTAAATGATGTTGATATACTTGAGTAATTAATGGAGTATATGATTTTGTTTATGAACGAATTTACTTGTATGATCGACATCTGTATCAGTAAAGTTGGTGATATATTTGGGAAAAAATAATAAATAGCACTGCTCAGCACTGCGATGTAGTACGGCGATTGATTTTAAAATGCTTGAATCTATTCAGTTAAGGTTAAATAAATGAAAATTCTTCATGTGACCATAGTAAAGTACGACAACGGAACAATATCACTACAAAAACACATTTTACTTTGAGAATGTTTCACTTGATTATTTTGGATAATAAATCGTCACATAAACTTAAAAAGAACTCTTTTGCAGTGCATTGTATGATTTTTTCAGTATCGATCATCTCGAATGTTAAAATAAAAGACGGTGGATCTTTTTGTAGAAACTCTTAGCTATTTGCTAAAAAAAAGACGTACAAAAACAACGAATACAATCAAATCTGTACGAGGTTTGGGGGAAGTTATAAATACTTAGATAAGTTCTCTCACTAAATCTGGCCAACGACAGTCTGTAATTGCCAATCGTAAATACAATACGATATTTTATTTCTTTACTACTGTGTATTACAGTACATTTTATGATTCTAATTTCGTTTCAAACTATAACAAAAACAACATTAATATGTGCAGTAACATCAGAAGGACACAAAGCGTACTTTCCTGTACAATTGCATCAGCTTCAGTAGCAAGAAATTATTTTTAATTATCATTTCTAAATGTATCAGCAACGTCATCTGATGATGCTGCGCTAATAATTTCTGCACATATTTGACGAGTTCCTCAACCACAATGGATATTATTGTTCTTTTCGGGGAATATAAGTCGTGCTTTTTCTATTGACGCTGCAAATGAATTTCGGAAAATTTATCAATATTCACATAATGTTCTACAAAGTTTACTAGACTGCATCCATAGACAACGTGAAGTATCGATTTCTCTTCACATAGAATATACGGGATGCATTTAAATAGCAACCGTAATGCAACAAAGGAGACATCGAATCAATGACATTTAAGAGAGAAACTATATATTTCTTATGTATGTGACTTTTTAAGCAAATATTACTGTTTATTGATTTAGAAACTATGGCAATCTCTTTGAGTACTGTGCTGGTTGTAATCGCGCATCCTGATGATGAAACTATGTTTAGTGGTTTTCGCATGAGGGACCATCGGAAGTTTTGTATGGAAATCTGCCATTATCTAACGAAACTATTGGTAGAAAACATTGGGCATGCATAAGACAGCAGGGCCTATTCGATAGTGGTCAAATATTAGGTATAAGAAAGTATTTCTTTTGCGATCAACTCAATTTGAAATACAGTTTTCGCTACATGATGAAATAAAGAATGGGTAATTGCACAATTTCAACGAACAATCAAGACTGGAAATGATGCTGATGGCTATGATTTAAATGAAACCAAATAAAATATCTTTACCAACAGTTATTAGTGGATCAGAATTTGTTTTTAGTCAGCCACCAACCTATTATGATAAGGAATTAGCTGAAATTTTAACAAACATATTGACAAGTGAGTTTCGTTTCAATCGAAAATGGAAAGTAGGGATGTAACAATACCATTTTTAGACACATAAAGATTGTCAATTTTCACAATGAAAATCTACCAATACCAACCAATACTTTGCGTTAGTTATAACCAGCGAAATTAGCTCTATCTGATAATACTATATAAAATACCAATACCAACAGAAAAGATCCTCCGTATTGGCGAGTATTCGTGAAAATTACCGTTTTTTTTTACCAATACTCACCAATACGGAGGATCTTTTCTGTTGGTATTGGTATTTTATACTCTTATCAGATAGAGCTAATTTCGCTGGTTATAACTAACGCAAAGTATTGGTTGGTATCGGTAGATTTTCATTGTGAAAATTGGCAATCTTTATATGTCTCCAAATAGTATTGTTACATCCCTAATAGAAAGTAATCGTGATCAGGAACAATATTTTTATTTTTCTATCAATGAACGTCTTCCGATGATCCAAAATCTATTCAATCAACTTGCTACCATACATCAAAGTGACAGCGAAAATGTACTCGAGTAACTAGAGTCCTGCGGGACGGGGTAAACGGGATCGGGACAATTCGAAAAAATCCAATGTCCTGAATTTTTAAAATTACATAAAAACGTGTGACGTACTTTAAATTTTTTATTTATAATAAATATCTTAATGTTTAAATGGAAAGCAGAAAGAGAGAAATATTAGAAGATGTGCTGAAAACTGTTCATCATCATTATCTTTTTCAGCTGTTTCTTCATATAATTATTGATTTCCTGTCGTCAATTGAATTTTGTTCTGATGTTACAGAAGGTGTTGAGACAGTTGAGTTTTCTTTCTTTACACACTTCAACAACTAAAGAATAAGTTTCATTTAAAACTCGGATATTTCTCTTAATAAATAACAAATTATTAATTTTATCTGTACATAAATGTGTATGTGCTTTTCCGAGTGTATGAAAATTAATCGATACGAAAATTAGTCGAATTTAATTTTAAAAAACCACTTTCTAAGTAGAACTTGTAGTTGATAGTAATGAGCTAAATAAGGACAATAAAAGAATTTTCACACAATGATAGACTAATTGTTGATATAAAAGAGAGCACATGTGTGCCAGATAGATCGAAGTTATTATAGACATGCATTACCTCAAATAAGCTAAAACATTTTAAATAGCTTCTGTCGCAAAAAGCTCGGTTTGACTGATCTAATAATGATTAGATTAAAATATTCTTCGTTGGTTATATAAAAAGTTAATATACTATGGAAACAGGAGAGTACTATTTTTCTCAAATGTCTTCGCTTACTTCGAGCAGGGTTCAAAGTACCAGTTCCTATTTTTGATAAAAAAAAAATTATTTTTATCTATTAATTTCTCGACCAATTTTGCTTGACAAATTTTCACTCTTCTTTTTTCCTATTGATCAGGTAGAAAATGTCTTTTGTTTTGTTTGACGGAACTACTCAACATTTAAACATTTTTTTGTCAACGGGACAAACGGGATTTTACGGCACAATTCGAAAAAATTCGGGACACGACAAAAATTTGTCCCGCAGGTCTCTACGAGTAACACATGATTCTTCACGAGAACTATGCTTTCATTCATAGCCAATGTTCATAAGAAACCTAAATCGTAGTTGCCGAAATTTCTTACTAAAAAAAGTCCAATTGTACACAAGGGAGCTTTTTTTTTCAAGGTCAAAATAGGATACTTCAATTACAACTAAAAGTGTTTTTTAAAGGAGCACAAATTCACTCCAAGAGCTGTGTGGATTAGTAACTTTTTTTCTTTCGTATGCATTGGAGAAAAAATAAAATATGATGAATAAGCATTCACAAAGCACAAAAAATGATAATTATCAGGTAGAGTATGTTTCTTTTATCTTCGATCTATAAATTCAATCTAATCAAGACCTTCTATTACAAGAATCATATTTGTTCGATGATTTATTTTTCAGTAGTAAAAAAGAAAAAAGAAAAAAAGAGAAATACGACAAAAGCATATTAAGAATCGACAAACACGCACACACACAAAACCTGAGTAAAGAGAAAATAACATTTCTTTCGTTTCATATATACATCGATAAGAAAAAAAAAGAAAAAGAATTTGATGTCTTTATTAACTCGCACATCTTAATCAATATTCAACAAGAAAAGAAAACGTACAAACACACAACCATAATTACTACTCATGTACATTATATATTTTATTAAAGTAGATATATGCGTATGGATGTTAATTCAATAGAAATTGCACAACACAGAACAATGAAGAATGAACAAGCAAACAGAAAACGTTTGATTTTTGTTCTGCTAGTTTTTTGTTTTCAAGATAAAAATCTGACACGGTTTTTTGGATTACAAAACAAAAGAAACTTTTTATACCCAAGAATCAGGTGACGTTGATATTTGTCCAAGTTGATCCCATGTGGTTGGTTGAACTTGTTGTGGTCGGTTTTTATGTACAGTAGCATAGAGATCAGCATGAGGATCACTGTAAGGTGGCATTGTCTATAAAGAAAAATAAATTCTTAATGAATAATCGTTGACTACAATCTCGACGAAGAGATCTGTGTCTCGCGAAAGATAACATCAGATTAAATTAAAAAGCATATCGCTACTAAATGAGACATAGCCTCAAGGAATAATTTCATTTCACACGATCACATATCTAAAGAAAGATGTGATGTATGATGTGGGCAGAATTTCTCGATTTGATTACGGATACGGATATAAACAATCATGTCTATTCTTCACTTACTCCATTTCCATATGGTCTTTGTAGATTATCCATACTTTGATTTAATTTTTGCATTCGATAGTCTTCTCCTCCTGAAAATAAAATGAAGACGTTTTGTTACAAATGCATCGATCTATGGAAATTTTTCGTGTCTTACTTTGTGGACGATTTATTTGTTTTCCTTTCGATGTAAAATATGTGAGTTGTCCCATATCACCTCTGGGTCGATTTAGTGTTGATTGTGGACTTGATGTTAACGATTTCGAATTTAATAATCTATGATGTATAAAATCACTTTCTTTGTAACCATGTTGTTTATATAATTCATGTAATGAACGATGTTTATACATTGTGTTAAGTACATGTGCGGTATATTTAATAACTTTAGCATTATAAACATGTCCTTTCGCATTCATAATACCGGCCATTTTAGTAACGCCACCTTCTTGAAACAAAAGTTTAGCATTAGTATCATTGGTGCGAATGATTTCATTTAATGCCGCAAGAACTGACGTGAGTGTTTCATCGGAATGACGACGTTGATTTATTGCTTGCTCGGATGGATCAGGTAAAACAGCAACGAGCTCTTTTATAGCCCAACCACCAAGTACATCACGATTTTTTGGATCAATGGCTAAATTTCTCAAAGCTATGGCTGATGCATTGACAACAGCATCACTTTCGTCGACACGCAATAGATCAACTAATTCAGATAGGCCACGAGCTTTACGCACTTCAGCACGTAAATCCATCGATGGTTTCCAATAGCAAGCAGCTGGAAAAGAAATTCGAAATCATCTATTGAATTATTCAATATTGATATAACATACTTAGATTTTGTATACATCCAGCTGTGGCTTCAAGTGTATCAGGATTACTACTATGACGAAGAAGATGTACATAAGTACCAATCACGTCTGTTTGCCAAAGCATTTCAACAGGTCGACCTTCCCGTGGTGGCAGTATAGGATGAATAGTTTGATTATTATTATTATTCGCATTTGTTCCAGTTTGATCGTATATTTGTTTAGTTTTTTTCTGTTTTGAACCCATACAGCCAATTTTAGTTTTGTCTTGTCCGTTGGTGTTCGCTTGCGATGGTGGCACGCTCCATGTCGATGCTGCTGCCATCGCTGGATAGTTACGATCATAATTAGGATCAACAACTTCTTGTAATTTATACGATAGATTACGTAATATGCACATGCAATTTTCTATGGATTTATTATCGATTTCGTTCAATGATTGAAGACTGGAATTAACGGCATGAAGAAGTGATGGAATAAATCCATCGCATTGACGCATTTTACGTCGACCATCATACTCAGCGGATGAACAATTACTGTAAGAAGGAGAAAAAGGAAAGATTTATTTTAGAAGGTCACAAAATGAACTTTATTTAATAATATAGCCAGTTGAAGAGACCTTGAACTTTTCGAACAAAAATTCTGATTTGATTTAAAATATTGTTCCTAACGAATAAGATAGGACAATAGAAAATGAATGCTTCTTTTTTTTTTATAAAGAATTGATTTCTCGGCTGCTAAATAAAATTTTCTGGCATAACAATAGAAGATATCGTTCGGAATCCATGAAACTCATTGAGTTATACGAAAATAATTCCATCCACAATCTCTTATACATCTAGAAGAAGGCAGTATTTGTTCAGAAAACCATCCGAGTTAAAATTTGATACCGAAAAAATTTTGAAAATGGATTATCAATTGATTACACGGATTCTTTCAATATCAACATAATAACATCGATTACCGTAATCATACTTATTTAACGAAGAAGAACGTTACATGTAAATCTCTATTATATAAAAGCTTACCACTTTTTAACATTTAATACGATAGTAACATGTACTCTTTTGTTTAATGTAAACATTTCAACTTACCGAAGAATTCCTGTAGCATTTTTAAAGACAGCCGGAAATTTTCCTTGTGGATTTAAACGTCGATTAACATCAAGATCCCAACCAGAAAACGGAATAATTATATTTGTAACAAGTACATGTAAACCTTCGTCGAGTATTTGTCCTTTTAATTGTGGTGACGAAGATGCGTTCCAAAGAACAGCTGTAACAGATTCTCGAACATCTTCATAGGGTGTTCGACGTAGAAGATGAATTAATGCTGGAATACCACCACGGTTTTTAAGTTCAATCTAATAAGAAATAGAAATAGAAACAAAAAGCAGATTTTTTTTTATTTTCAAACCTTATTTTCATCATTTCGTTTTCCATAACATAAATTTCTCAAAGCTCCACATGCATTCTTTTGTATTTCCGGTTTTTCATGTTGCAGTAAGGCAACTAAATAAGCAATACCATTTAATGATCTTGTTTTAGATTTGATGTTATCATCATTAAAACATAAATGTTGTAAATAAGCAGCTGCATTCTCTTTAATAACATCGCTTGTATGACTAAGATATTCAATAACTTCCTGTAAATCTGGATCACGCCAACGTTGTTCTAATTAAATAATAGATTCAACAAAGCAAGGAAAAAAATGGGTTCGAATATACCTCGAAATTCTGTATCTATTGAAGGTGATCGTCGTCGAGAATGATAATCCTCATCATTTATACCAAATGGTGCATACATACGACTCAATGTACCATAATCTTCACCATAGTCCGGAGGAGCTGAAAAATTATAGTATGATAAAACAAAACCATTGATAGGAAAATAGGTTTAGCTTGATTAGCGAAAAAAATGACGACGCAAATATATATATAAATTAATCTAATTCTTACCGTGTCCAATACTATCCGGCGACTGTCGTCCAGCAGTTGGTAGAAGCGCACGACCAATATTATCCGATCGACCTGGACCTAAGCCTTCATAAGGATTTTCAACATCAAGATACGGTTCATCAACTAAATTTGGATCATTTGGATCATAATCAATAATTTTTTCGTCAGTATTAGCTAAACACAACAAAAAACTAAATATGAAAAACGGGAATATGTAGAACTAAAAACGAACTTTTATTATGTTCTGGTTCATTATAACGTGTACCAGTATAACGATGATCGAAATTTTCCTGGCTATTACCATTTCGTCCATTGCCGTTGGTGTAGTGATTTGGTGGTATTCTTCCTGACGGTCGTCCATTGGAATATTTACCTCGTTGATCATATTTTGATCCGTTTGTCATCGATACTCCTGTTTCAATTCTATCGCCACCAGACGCATATGTACTTCGTTCCATACGATTAGTTTGTGGTTCATAATTCAAATGTTGATGTTGATGTGTAGTTGTAGTTGTTGAACGTTGAGAAGAACGTGCGGATGATGGAGAATGTTCATCATTGGATCTTAATCGAGTTCTAATAGAACGAAAAGATGCATTAAAAAAAACTCAATTTTTGTTTGATCTATAAAAATTCTACTCACTTTTGTTGAATAAAAGATGAGTTCGGCGAAAAACCAGTACTTGTTTCATGTTTTGTTATTATACTATTCGTTGGTATTGAATTGCCTTCATAGACAACTTGTTCATCTGACCATGTTGTTGGTGTTGGTTCACCATATTCGGCTATTAGAGCTTGATATCGAGGATCATCTTGTCGTATAAGTTCACCAGTTAATGGATCAATAAGATGACGATGTACTCGTGTTATTTTTTGTATTTTAGTTACTTTCGATACTTGTTGAGATTCTTCTTTCTTACGTACAACTTTTGTGCCATCAGGCGTTGTTTCTTCTTCAACTGTTGTTGTTACTTTAACTGTATTTGATTGTGGTGCTTGACCATTATCACCGTCTGATGTGTATGTGTATGTGTAGACAAGACGTTCATGTTGTGGATCGTCCGTCGTTGTTTCGCCGGGCATTTGTTAGAAATAAATGTTGTTTAATAAGAAAAGACTAGAACAAAAGAAGAAGAAATCAAGAGGAAAGGTTATTCGATTAAATCAGATAAAGTAAATGTCAAACAATGAATTGATGTTTGCTTTTCGAAAGAAGAAAAAAGGAAAGAGCAACAGAAAGAATGAGTGAAATCTCTTTGCCAAGTGACAGGTGACACTTGTTGAAATATTCTTATGTAAGACACTGACACCAATACTCGAGAAGGTACAGCTCGTTTGCACAGGCAATCGAGCGAATACAGCCACAAAAAAAAGAAAAAAAGAAAGCGAACGAATGAGTTATTGGCCTTCTAACAAGAAAAATAATAGGGCTTCTATTAGGTTGATGTCTGTTTTTTGAGACAGTGAAACATTGATTAATTTCGTCATATTCAACAATATTAAACGAAGGTCAAATGATGAAATATTGTATGCAGCTCAAATATGTCTATGTATTGTCGTTCTCGATTAAAATAAAAAACGGAACGAAAATTGATCATCAAGAAATAAATCAGATATGAATCCTCAAAAGATGTTCTATGTATGAATAGCCTATTTCTTTCGACAGACTAATCTTTTGCGACGAGATGCCTTAGTTTACTCGATGGACATAAACATAACAAAAAATGCCTGGTCGTGTATGTGTATAGACACCTTCTATCTTAGCAAATAGAATTTTGTAGGTTTATACTTCTTCTATGCATATACACACACACACACGTTTACTAACGCCTACAATGAATGTTTATCTGCCTATTAATCAGCATCGTTCACTCCCACCCTATCACTCGTGCATCCTATTTGTCTCTCATATGAGAAATACATATAATAGTCTTTTCTTTCTTTTGGGCTATCGTGTTCTATAAGACGTAAGACATATTGTGGTACTCGACGCGAATGTACGATTTTTCTTGTATTCAGTAAAGAGACTTGTTCTCTTTTCTCTCGAATTGAATCCATTTCACATATACTTGAATGCACGCAAACGAGAATAAAAGAGAGAACCGGAAAGAAAATATGGCAAGTCTACTTTTTCTTTTTCTTTTTGCATGTGCTTAGAAGTCACCAGAAAAAAAGAACCTTGAATAAACAAATACATCGCCAAAGAGATCAATACAGTGGCTTACCGCTAAAATTCATTTCTTTTCTACAAGTTGCATATCGAACTTATTGATTTGCATGAATTCTTTCTTCTCATTCAATAGATATCTTTCCATGCACGTCTAATACAGACAAAGAGAGAGAGAGAGACAGAGATAGATGTACTAATAATCGAGAGTAGTAGCAGTAACTCTCAATCGTGCGCGCCCGACCGCATACTTATTGTATTGAAAACTTGCTTTCTCTTTTTCTCGTTCGTTCATACATTCGAGTAGACGCGGAGAATGACCGACAATGAACGTTGACCAACATGGGTATGAGTAGGGATGAAGGAGGGAGAGAGATGTAATTTGTTGTCTAGCCGAAAGAAAAGAAAGAGAACGGACGACAATATCGCATAGGCTTTCAATTGAACAATGTGGGCATCCATCTATATTTTTTTCTCCTTGGCATGAATCCAAATGGGAAGTGAACAAATGAGTATAACAATAATAAAAGAATACTAGAACAAAAGACAATTTCACATCTATATGTCATTCACAATCTTTAGCAAAAAAAGAAAAGCTTTATAAATAAATAATAAAATAATTCTCACCTGACTGTGACAAGATGAAAAATTATTCAATTAGAATTAGTAGAAAAAAAACAAAACTCCAGTGAGTTATGGGCATAGATCTAAAAATAAGAGTATATGAAACCGACGAATTCTCTGTCAAATTCACTCCTATCATTTCAACGTAGAAATATACACGAGAGGGAAAGAGAAACCAACGAATGACTGTCCATCAAACTAAAAGAACGGACGGGACAAATAACAAAAAAAAAAGTGAATCTAAAGCGACATCACCGCTTTCATTAAACATTTCTGTTTTTTGTTAACCTCCGTCATGCAAATTAACCAATGAGGGCGAACCTTATGATTTATGAGTTATTATTGCATTCGTTTTTTATTTTAATGAAAGAAATACAATTTTCATAGAGATTTTATTTAGGAAATTACATTGTAGTTTGAAGTCTAGTTGTTGACATTAATTGATTTGTTGTTATTTCAGAAAAATCCGATAGAAAAGTCCATAAACCAGTTGTAGCATCGTATTCGGCTATAATCATAGCGAGAAAATTAACCTCACCAGTTCGATTACTTAACATATCATTAAGATAACGCACTTTATCATCAACTGTATCAAGATTTAACATTGCTGCGAGTAACGTAACACACGGTCGATGTGTAACAATGAGAACCGTTGGCGGTGACGATGATGATGTTGCTTTCATACTTTGACTAATAAGTTTCATTGTAATTCTCTTTAAAACAGTATACATTCGTTGATAGTATGCTAAACGTGATTCTTGTACAATAATGTTACTATTAGTTGGAGATAATATCGGAGAATAATTTAAATCAACAAAAAAGTTGACTGATGAATAGAATTCTGCTGGTTGCAATGGTAATTGTCGTTTGGTTGGCTCGTGAAGAGCAAGATCAATTCTTAATGGTACTCGTTCACGCCGACCGAGGCCATCGAGTACAGAATCAGCTGTTTCAACGCATCTCATTGCAGGAGATGTGTAAACTCGATGAGGTATCAAACGAAGTGAACGAAAAAATTCTCCCGTATGATGAGCATGAGCTCGGCCATGCCTTGATAATGGTGTATCAAGAGAATATTCATGAGGATTTGCTCGAGTTGGTAATACTGTTGGCATTTGTGTTAGATTTGGCGAATAAACGCCATTGATGAATGCTTCTTGTGGCCAATTAGCGTTTCTTAAAACAGAATCTAATCGTTCCGAGTGTCGCATTATGATAATACGAGGCTTTGGTCTTGCTCGTTGATACATGGTTTCCAGCTAGTATAAGTTACAATATTGCATAAAATGATGGCCGTTTTTTTTGCCCGTTCGTTTCATATATTCAGTATTGCTGGAAAGAAAACTATTCAGGCGAATCTTTGAATAAGTACAGCTTGCTAAAGGGAAAAAAAGAAACTATTTTTGATGTTATTACCTTCGTCCCAGCATTTCTCTCGTTATTCGTTTGTTATTCATGACGTATGTGTTCGTTCTTTCGTTTTTTTTTCACTAATTAATTCAAAAGATTTATGTTTAATAGAGGATTGAAAACATAAATTTCATTGGCATGATTATCACGAGCAAAAATAAGCGAGTATCTGTCATCATTTGAATATGTGACAAAGTTAATAAAGAATACGGTCGATTATTCACAAGCAACCTTCTGATGTAATGAAACGGGGGTTTGTCAGTTTCTCTCTGATTGTCCTTATTAAAAAGACAAAAAAAGGTTCGCTGACATAACGGATGCACTATTTTGTATGAATGAACCAACTTGAAATTCTGTTTGATATTTTCGTAAGAGCAACACGTGTCCTTGGTATCAAGTAGATAACGTTAGTTATCTGAAAAACAAATTTTCAGCTTTTGAATCTTGTTTTATAGAATCAAACAACAAAATAAGCGATGAGGGTTTTATGTGTGATTCTATTTGAATAGTAAGATTTAATTAAGATAATAATTTTGAGAGAGAAAAAATGTATATTTCGTACGTAATTTAAAACGATTTACTTCGTTTTTTTTTTTGCACTCCACATATAATTATATGATGAAAATTCGACTCAAGTATTATCGAAAGTTGTAACCTTTGTCTGAAATTTAAGTATTCTATCTTTAGAAGATTTGCAAGATCAATATTGAATGCTTCATTGGTATTCTCTTCTCGCCATAAACAGGTGATTATAATTCTTTTCAAATAGATGAAGTATCAACGTCCTTCTTTGAAATATATTGGACGAAATTTGAGTAGGCCATAAATATAAAACTATAGTATATTTGTGTAGTCAATAGAGTGTACGTGATTTATAAGCAGAATTAAAATTATTGAGAGAAATGCATTTTTATAGACATTTAATAGATTGCACGTTCGATTAAATAAAATTATTGAGTAAAAAATTTATCTTGTGACCTTTTTATTTTTTCGTAGTTGTGACAGTTTGATGGATGACGCGGCTATGTTTTGTTTTCGTCATCTGAATCCTTTTTTTTTCTTGTTTTTGTAATATTCGTCAATAATCATTCTTTATATCAACTGACAATGAGTAGAAAAACAGAAAAATAAACGCACGATTACTTTAGTTTCGTGTTTGCACCAAGTTTCAATAGATATTATTCTCTTGCAGGTTTATCCAATCAAAGAGATCTCATTTCAACAAGTTCAAAATGTATCGATCAACTTCGAGTTATTTTACGATCGCACTTACTAGAGAGTACAATGATGCTGATTTAAACATGTACTAAGCACCAACAGTTTTAACTTGCTTTGCAAATACACAAATATGGGTTTTTTCTCTCGTAAAATTTAAAACTGATCAATCATACAAATGGAAAATTTATCTAGACTACGATCGAAGCTGATTACTCCAATTAGAAAAAAATACGAGAAAAATATTCTAGATACTAATCGCTCGCTCGTAACGCCTAAGACCAGTTTAAACTAAAAGGAAGAGAAAAGAAAAAACTTCCAATCACTGGTCGCCTTTCAAATTGCTGCCAGAATGCAGAACCCGTTTTGTTGCTTCTATTCCAAGATACAAATATGACGCAGTCATATCCGAATTGTTCAATATTTAATTTACTCATGTTCGAGTAAGACCTACCCGAAATCTACTCAGTCAAGATTCACAAGTGATGAGTCTATCGGAAAACGCTCCTTGTGAGATGTGCCCGCAGATGTGAAAAATTCCAATTCATTTGTTTCCTTGAAAAATCTGTTCATTGTAGGTTTATAACATAAAAGATACTGCGATGGAATGCAATTGAAATATACGAGAACAGCTGATCAATTTCCCATATAAAAAAAAGATGTGCGTGTCTGTATGTATACATCTTGCGACTGTTATGCTGTGCTGTAATCAGCGTAAAACAAAAATGCTCACATTGATTGAATATTAAAATAAACAAGTATAACTGCAACACAAGGCTTCTTACGATAATTTTCTAATAATGATAAAATTCTTTCTCATCAATTAAGAGAGCGTCTTTTTTTTTGTCCTCATTCGGTGCAATCAATAAACATTAAGAGCAATAAAACAAGAGACGAAGTATTATTCTTACACATTTTGATTGGACATAATAGAAGTATCAAAATATGTTCATCGCATCTATCGAAATAGAATATTTATGACACATGCACACAGATTGACGTTTCTATTTTATTTTAGTCAAACAGGTGTATTCCCATGAGTCCCATCGAGAGCATTAAATCGTCCATCCTTGAAGAAGAAAGTGTCCATTTTTGATTACATGCTTTAACATACTATACACTGGTCAGCTGCTCAATCTTTTGCATATAAATATACACGTCAATCGATCATGTCCACGAAAAAAAAACACTAAGCAATAACGCAAGTGATTCAATGTATCGTCACACAAATATCAACATTAAGTTTCTATGTTAAGCATACCATTTGAACTTTATAATGACTTAGGCGAAGTAGAAAAATAATCATTATATGATTATGTTTACTACAAATATAACCATATGCTTGTTCATAGCAAGGCTGTATTTATTGACAAACACACGCACAGTGATGTCTTCTCACGTTCATACATGCTGTGTTTTTAACGCGCAATTGACATTTACGTACACATTAGGATATCCGTGATGCAACCACTCAACCACCAGCTACTTTAGTTCATCATCAGTTCTTAGTTCTCTAATCAAGAATAACTGATTAAGTTTATATGTAAATATGCGTCTTTTTTTCTTTTTTCTTAATAAATAATTTCGATATGCGATGTATTTCCGTTCTAATGGGACGCATGCTTGTGTTCATCGACGAAGGTCGTATACACATGTATAAATGAACTTTGATTTAGTTAATAGAAATTTTGTTATGAGTTTTTCTTCTTTCACAGTAGATGTGAAGAAGAAGAACAAGAGAAAAAAAGAGAATAAGATTTGATTAGTTTTTCCCAACATATCGATTAACGAGTCAATTTGACCAGAACAAAAGACGCGTGCAATAAGAAAGAAACAATCCCATATATTAATATATATTAAAGAGAAAATCTTGCGGTGGGAAGAGATACTGCTGTTACAAGTAGAACCATTGATTATCTTTTCTTCTATACATTTATTTAGAATTTTGTCTCTTGTCAAGTCCTCTGCGGTTTATATTTATAAATGTGTGTGTATCTTGCGTAAGAATTAATTTTTTACTCTGATCGATTCTCAATAGGTCGTATGGTCACCTGGTTGCTTCTTCTTCTTCTTCCGCTCATTTCTCGTCTTATAAAAATTATGATTGCAAGTAACATGCAATCTTGACCATTAATCCTTTCGTTGTCGTCGTCGTTGCTGTTGTCAAGGTAAATCATAATAAGTTTAAAATGCATGCATCATTAGCTATCGATGTTATATTGCATGTGTCAATTTCATCTTAATCTTAATAAAAACCATTTTTTCTTTTCATAAGTAAACATGCAATCGTATATATAATTCTATTGCGAAGATTTCTTCCATGTTCACTAGTGTGATTATGTATGATGATGACATCCTATCAATTAGTGCTTAATCGTTATTCGTTTATTTTGACAATGTTTAGAGACCATATGTGACCACTCCCATATATCAATAGTCATTACACAAGTTAAACGAATAAATGATTCGATTTACTAGTTCTAACACCTAACGCATGTCTATAGTCTTAGCCATAAATCTCTGATTGTTGTTCAAAGAGATGATTATTGCCCTATAGAAAAAGAAAATTCATTACATATGGCTTCATTTTCATGTCCATCTGTATTGTGAAGAGATAAACAGACGATCGATGTCGCAAAGAAATAAACAGATCATCCTATATGAACTTCTGTACCATCAGAAAAAAAGAAGATGAAGAAGAAATCTCATTTTCTTTCGTGTCAAAATTTAACGGGCAGCTTATTTCCGTTTATTGCATAAAAATCTTTGTCCCTTGTGTGTATGTATATGTCTGTGGGATGAGACGGGTAAATACAATTGACCAAATCACTTTAAGATAAGAGTTTTGAATGGACCAACTCGTACGATTGCGTGACAACAAAGCAGACGACGAATGCTTCGTTCATGCATAAAGAAAAGAAGAAAAGAAAAAGAATCCCGCCTCATATACAACCCAATAACAATTTCCTGTATTACCAAGAAACCTTGAACTACATTATAAGCGAGACAGACGATCACTTGCCGTATCCATCATTACTACTAACAAACAAACTGAAGACGTCTATCGTAGATATATTTAGTTTTTTTTTGTACTAGTTTCAAGACTGTTACATTGAAAAATTGCGGATAAACAGTGACTGCAGAGAGAAAAAGCCTAAATCTAAAAGAGCACTCTTTCCTACTAATACCTTTGATTTGTGCTATTTCCTCTTTTTCCTCTTCGTCTTCCTCTTCTTTCTGTTTCTTCTTCTGTTTCTTTCCTTTTTTTTTCATATTATAGATATAGATGTATGCTTGTTCGTTTCTTATACTCAATACATCATGAACATGTTGTTCAGCTTATTGATATTAATAAATTTTTCTATTCTTTATTCATATTCAATTGTGTCACAAATTCTTCCATTCGTATCAATATTGGAAGAAAGTCCAATATTAACGATTGTGGTTGATCTTCGTCCAATATTTCAAACACTTTATGTCAATCCCAATCAAGCGGCACTACTTCATAGTCAATCGAGTCAACCGTTTGAATATATAAATGGATATATACGATTGAAATCTCGTCTTGATCGTGAAGATTACGTTCGAAAACGTTTGTGTATCGGCGGAAATGTCCTTGAATGTAACTTTACATTAACATTAACTGTTAATCTTGATGAAGCACCTTATAATTATATACTATCACAGCCAATATCATGTCATGATATCAACGATATGATACCGAAATTTTCTCAATCAGAAGCGAAGATTTTTATGGCCGAAAATGTTCCAATTGGTCATCGTATACCACTTGAAATAGCAATCGATTTAGATTCATTGCCTTATGGCATTGATTATTATCGCTTGGAAACAATCGATGATAGCGAACAACATCAATTCTCTATTGTTTATGACAACCAAAGTCGAGAATTAGAATTGATTGTGAAAGAAAAATTAGATCGAGAATTAATTGAAAAATATTTATTTAAATTAATCGCTATCGATCGAGGTCAACCGCCGAATGTTGGAGCACAAATATTAACAATTGAAATCATGTAGGAAGAAAAGTAGATTCCTTTTCCTTTTTTATTTGTTTTTTTTTCTATATTTTCAGTGATGTAAATGATTGCCGACCTCGATTTGAATCGCCAGTTTATAATGTTACAATTGCAGAAAATACTGTACCTGAATATTTACTGAAAATTCATGCTGTCGATAATGATATTGGCTCTAATGCTGAACTAATTTATACATTAGAAAATGATTATGATAAACTTTTTCGTTTGGATAAAAAAACAGGAATTTTAACATTGAATCAAGCTCTCGATTATGAATTACATAAATTATATCAATTGAACGTTCAAGTACATGATAATGGAGTAAACCCATTGGGCGATACGTGCATTATTTATGTGTATGTCCTTGATCAAAATGATCATGCACCTTCAATACAAATGAAATTCAATCCGATATTTGAACACAATCAGGATGGAAACATGGCTTATGTAAAAGAATCGTTTGATATTAATTTACCATTGGTTTTTGTGACTGTATTCGATCAAGATTCAGAGGATCGTGGAAAAGTATGTCGTTGTTTTCTTTCGTTCATTGGGAAGCAAGAGGTTGCTTTGGCACATCATAGCCTATCGTCCATGTGAATCTTCTTCGATAGGAAATAGTAAACCTGACAATGAATTCGTGTTTGATGATAATACACACTAAAAACAACTTTGAACATCCTGTTTTCATTCAAATCTAATGTTTCATCCCCGTCTTTCTCTTCCGGAAGATTATTTTAAAAGTTCCAGAGAATTAATATATCTATTTTTCGGAAACATCAACGCACACTATAGAACGTTAGAAGGATAATCATGATCTTCCGAAATTGCACTATTTTTTTTCTAGGCTCAATTGGCAGTAGAACCTCATCGTTTATTTTATCATGAACTAATTCGTCCGAATTACTATGCAATAAAAGCGAATCAAAATTTCGATCGTGAATCGATGTCGTCCTATCAAATTGAATTACATGCACGCGATTTTGGGCAACCAAGCTTACGTCGTTCAATGACATTCGAATTAAATATAACTGATATAAATGATCAAATACCACAATTTCATACCAATTATACATTTGACTTAATTGAAAATAATCGTATACCAACAATAATTGGCCAAATTCATGCCTATGACAATGATCAAGGCCTAAATGGGCAAATAACCTACGCAATAATTCCAGAGTCATCATATTTTTTCATAACCGCCAACGATGGAACTGTTTCAACGAATACATCATTCGATTATGAAATAAAACGTAAGTATAGATTTCAAGTACGTGCACGTGATCATGGCCAACCGCCGCTCGAATCATTTATTGATGTGCAAATCAATATAATTAATATTAATGAATTTTCGCCAACATTTGAACAAGATAGTTATGAATTTTTTGTATACGAAAATAGAACGATACAATTTATTGGACAAGTTAAAGCTTATGATCTTGATTTCAATGATTCAATAAGTTATGTGTTGAGAAATTATGAAGATCTATTTAGAATTGATTCTAATGGAAAAATCTTCACTCATGTTGTGTTCGATCGAGAACTACAAGAAGACTATAAATTAACAGTTATCGCAACAGATAATTCAACAATAGGATCAACAATTGTAACAATAAAAATTTTGTACGAAGAATTTTTTGTTTTTATCTACAATTTTATTCGTTTTATTTTCTACATAGAGATGTTAATGACAATCGACCTGTATTTATTTGGCCGGAATCCGATGAAATTCAACATGTACTCTCGCACGATCATTCAGAACGTATTGATGTCAACAATCCGAATGCACAATTCATCACCGATATTATAATGTATGATGATGATATTGGAAATAATTCTCTCATTGATTTGACAATGTCTGATAACAATGAATTATTTTATGTTGGCCCAAATAATTCTCTATGGTTAAGAAACTCATCGATACAACCCGGTAATTTTTACATTGAATTACAAGCGAAAAATTTTGAATTTGAAACAAAAAAATTTTTACATATTATTATTAGTGAAGAAAATTCATTGAAATTAAATTTATTCAATAATATGAATAAAAATTTTCATAGATTCTCAATGATAATTATAACTATTGTGACATTTTCTATAATGAGTTTTACTATTTTTTTAATTATTTATTATTTCTGTATAAGAAAAAATGTTGAAAAAAAGCTATATGGCAGTAGATTAATCGTTAATGATGAAGATAAATCAAAACAAAATAGTCCACAAACAAAGTCAACAACGGTAATATTACCATCAATTCACAATAGTGATTATACTATTATTACTAAACAAAGAAAAGTAAGTTGTGCTAATGTGTTTATGTCTTGAGTGTGTCATTCAGTTTAGTATTCTCTTCTTCTTCTTCTTCTTCTTCTTTTTGTGGAGTATGTATATCAACACCAGGAAAAGTAACCTTTAACCAGATACGATCAATCGACTGATGATGATTGTTTTTTTTCGCTCAACTGAGCGCACGCGTATCGTTGCGAATAGCCATGTGGCGACTAATGACCTTCTCCTCTCCTATTAGAAAAAGATGCAAAAAAAAACTTCCGAAGCTACTATAGACAAAATCAAAAGGCCCTGCCATCAACGATATCATTCTTTGTTTAGAATTCACAGGTTCCCTCTGGTCAAAGTCCATCAACAACTGATGTTGAATTTTCTTCCTCTATGCTCTCATGTCCATTCAATGGTATATCATCATCGTCAACATCGGATCTCGATCGTCCACATTCTCGTCATCATAATCCACATTCATCAGCTATATCAGCATTAACAACACTGACGCGAAAGTCAGCCCGACGTCAGCAAACAAAAAATGTTAGTTTTCAACGACCAACAACGAATCATATGTTTAATGATCTATTTCAAAATACGTCATCAACATTTAGTACATTACCAAAGCAAACAAAATATGACGCATCATTGAATGAAAATGCACCTGTACTAACAGATTTGCCACGATCGCAGTCGAATAATTTCCCAACCTTGCAAACAATGCTGGATCAATCAACGAAAGATAGCCAAACGCAATTACCACAGCCACCGCCATTACTTAATGGAATTCTCTTACTTGATAAGATGCTCAAAAACTCGTCAATGTCAAACGATGATAAAAAACATACGATACCGACATCATCGGGTACTAATAATGGATGGTATAATGTGACATCTAATTATCAGACACGAGCTAGTATTGTATAGTTATTGTATAACCAAGTTTGCGTGTTGACTAGTCGTCGTTTCTTTTTCTTTTTTGTATAGAGAATTGTTTTTGAATAATAAATGAAAACTGTTGCTTTTATGTGTGAATGAAATATATCCATAAGTGTATTTTTTTTATCAAAAGTTAACTTATAGTTTAGATTTCTATAGAGTTAGATTACGTCTCGGTATTATCCGCATGGTGGACCTTCAGGCGACCATTAGGTGAAAAATTAAAAGTATAGTTTTTAATGGTTGAAATGGAGAAACATAATCTACTACCTTTGGGCTTACTTAAACGACATAAAAGTCTTGTTTCCTGTTGTTGTAATTAGTCGGAAAACTTCTACCGAAAACGCCGCGAGTAAATTCTACAGATCGTGCATTGTTTCTCACTCTATCAATATGTGACTTGATCAATTTGAGGGTAGAAAATAGTCTTTTTTTTTGTATAATTCAAAGAACTTTATTTATTGATTCGGAGAATTTGAATATTCATTTTCCATAATTATTTCTATTTTTCTCTTTTGTTAATCAAAGGATTCATGATTCTCTCCAGAACAGCAACGACATTTTGGCTCAAAAATTTTTAGAGTGCTTGGATTTAGTTTCTGAAAAATTTTCAGATCTTTTTCTCTCATTGCGTCCATAAACATGAACATAGAATCTATTGGAATACAGAGACGTTTCCGAAGTGAGCCATATTTATACGGTTCATAATATTACGCAAATGAGAAATCTTAGCATTCATCACTTACAAGATATTCACAGCTGACTAGAAGCAACAAAGTGCAGGTTGTCCTGAATAGAAAGCATTTACTCAATAGAAAAACTTTCGTCGTCAAGGTCAACCTTTATGTTGATCAACGATGCAAATAACAAGTATTTTAAGTGAAATTTCTTGAACATAATAGCATCGAAATGACGCTAAATCAAAGAAGATCTTCCGAATATAATTTCCTAGATCAAGTCTCAAGTCTGAAACGACTGATTGATTTTCATAACTAAATTTTCCCTACAGATGTCTCTCCAAATAATTCATTTACTAGCGACGTATAGATTTGGTAAAGCAAATAAAAGAATTGTTGCCAAGCATCATAACATGTAAATGGCAATAGTTTCGAGCTATTAGTTGTTTAATTGATGATGAACCAAATTGTTGCTTCCCAACCTTATGTCATTGAAAACTCCGTACATTTAACACGGCCAGGTTTCGACTCGTTCTTACAATCCGATGCAAATGATGATCCCAGAATTGTTGATAAACGTCAAGCTAAACGTCTCTATCGTTTACAAGAAATACCTAACGTAAACACGAGTTTTCATTTGGATACTTCCGAAGTAGACTATGAAACACACGGACAGTTTGAAAGTAATCTTCGTAAACAAATAGATCAAAGTTCTGCTCAACCATCTAAAGCAGTATATCACGCACCGACAGATCTATCGAATGAATCATTGGCAAAATTTTCATTTGGAAACAGTCGTCTTGACCCTCAATATCTTGTCCCAAGTCAACTGACAACAGTTCGTAATCATCCAGCTGCTATTTCTATGCTGCGGTACGATAAGATCTACAAGCAAGGCTCGAACACATATAGTGAATTTCATTTTTTTAAATCTTTAGGCACGAAAAAGACTCTGATCATGAATTCGTTCCTCGTTTTACTGATCGATTAGTTCCGGACCGAGCAATTCGTGCTCGACTAGGTCCCGGTGGTAACGATTCTCTGCATTTCCGATGATGGCCTCCAAAACCTTTTCTCTCTTTAGGTGCACTCAATCCTGAAGAAGATTGTAGACAAGCTGTAGAGTATCTTCAAAGTCAATATCTTTCATATTCTGAACCTAACTTTGCGTTCAGTCCAAGACAAAAACAACAACAACAACAATCTATAATGAATGAATTAAAACGCGATGAACTTGCTCGCCAATATATGTACACATCATCTCAACAAGCTTCTTATGATGATGTACCATGGGGTAGGATAAAATAAATTTGAATATTTCTTTTCTTTAAATTTCTTCCGTGTTTCAAATCAAGACTTGTTAGATTCAAGATCACAAGTACCATTAACAAGTTTAGAAGCGTATGGTACCGGCCCATCATTCAAGCCGAGACGGCGTCCAATACTTCACGATACACGTAACTTGAAAATTCTTGATTGGGATCGTACAGAACCACGACATGCCAATTACGGTCGAAAACCATTCAATAACGTTGCACCATTAACACGAGCACAACAAATACCCGGTTATTCAGGTTCAATCGGCGGTTATAACCTACAGGATATTGATAATCCAGAAATTGCCTATGAACCTTTTACAGTAGTTCGTACTGAACAACCTAAATTTTCGACGAGTCCTCGGTAAGTTACAGGTTTTGTCTTTTGATTATTCAAGCAAATTAAGTTTCGTGTTAACCTGAACACTAGAGATTTATTAAATATGAAGTTCTAGGGACTAGTAATGATAACATCTATATATTTTAGTAAAGCAAACATCCCGTTCTATACGGGACAAACTCATTGGACTAAGGTAGATCCTGTATCTCATTATGATCAATCCGGCCATGGTTACACAACAACAGCAGCATTTCATAAGTAGGAAATGTTGTACTTTTTTAGTTTTCTTTATTTTGAAATTTATAACTAGATCACTGCCTCTCGACAATTCATCGTATCGCCATAGCGATCTAAATGGATCATTATCTCGTATTGTAACAACGGTTATGCCGCAAAATCCGTTCAATCAAATAGATGCAAGTAGTAAAACAGTAAATGCATCATTAGATAGTCGGTCGCATCATGCAATACGACCATTACCGGCAAGAAGATTATTACCATTAAAGGATAATACAAAAACCGAAGAACAGATTGTTAATAATCAAGTCACCAATTAGAAAACAAAGACTCTTTCCTATTTTTCTCATTTAATTGAATAAAATATCATGGCTTTCCGTAGAAAACCATTCGTTTGTATTTAATTGACGAGCTCGAAGATGTGTAGGTAACGGTCGATACAAGTGATTGAATAATGAATTTATCATATCTTCATTGATCGGTTTTATTTTATCATCTGGTCTTTGTGCATTATTTGATGCAGAAATTACATTGTTTCGTTCAGGTAGAGAGAAGTGATTCATTTTATTTCGAGATAATTTGGTAAAATCAAAAGCATTAGGTAATGCTGACATTAAATTATTTCGTTAATTCAAAGTAAAAATTAGGCGGGAGTGTTTTTCATTTTTCACAACATTAGTAAACTCTCAAAATAGATATTAGAATCCATCTCCTATAAATTATTTTTTCATTTGAACAACCATACATCTCTTAGACCCATAATTGCACAGTCCCTATTCCGACGACATTTGTTTATTGCGTTTCAAGAATATCGTGCAGCTAAAACTGTCACCTATTGCTATACAATGGCAACTATCATTCTTGATGATAGTTTATAATATTTTCAACGAATAAGGCGTATTAACAATATGTTTGAATAAAGAGGTCTTTAAAAAACTCTGGGAAACACGCATGTTTATCTAATATGTTACGCATTTCTTTATAGGACTTCTTCGAATACATTACATTCATATCGTGCAATTTTTATTATTTCCCTTTGTTCACTTATGTTCACAAACTTAATACTGAGAAATTGCATAACTAGAAAAAATATACGTTAATATATTCATATATGTCGAATTTGATATTTTCCTATAAGATAGTCGAAGAACAAGAAAGGTAAAGAATAATTTATACTATAATATTTTTTAATTGTTATACTTATCTTTTTATAAAATTGACTGATTCTCAAGTTTATTTACAATTCAGATTAATTAGCAGATTTATTGATGAAAAATTTCGCTGATCGTTCATTTAGTTTGCTAATCAGGCATTCGAATCATTCATCTTATGATATTTTAACATACTAACCAGAGACCGAAACCGATGACAAAAGTGCTATTCGATTCGATTCGGGTTTTTTGGCCTTTTAAAAATTGTAATTCGATTCGATTCGGGTTTTCTAGTCTTTTTAAAATTGTAATTCGATTCGATTCGACTCAAATTGGCTTTACAAAATATGGTATTCACTATTACATAGTATTGTTGCTTTCAGACTGTCATCGTCTTAGAATGAGAATAGACTGTCGATCTTCTATAGAAATATGTTGAATGAATATAATTTATGAAGATATACATAAGAATTATTCATTTTTTTCAAGAAAGAACAAAATATAAATTAATGAACTCATCTAAGTAGACTAATTAAATAAGTTTATTTTCTATAGAACGAAGAAAATTAATATCATTTACTGTATATGGATCTATATTTACAGTTGACCATAGCCATACTTAATAACTGAAGAGGTTGATATCAAGACCCCAATCGCACTGGGAATGTGAATAAAGTTAAAGTCTT